ACAAAAGAGGGACCAAATCTGCAGGTTGCTGGGCCTGGCGGCGAAATAACTGCAGGTATGATAATGTGCCATAGGGTGGAATAACCATCATATTTTCTCAAAGCAATTTGGCAGTGCTTTTTTTCCTATGTAACTGTACTAGAACGCTTCAGATTTTCTAAAATTTCATTGCCTTGTCAATTTTAGTTTATTAGAATGAATGAGCCATTTTTATAAGAATTTAATATATTTGGTTAATTGTTTACTTATTCATAACTCTTATGTAACCTTTTACCTCTTGTATACAAAGCGGGCATTCAGATTTATGTGTAATGTGTTACTAGTCATATTTTTTATAATTTATTTTCCAACTGTGTGGAGCCAGTGTCATACTTCAATTAGTTACATTTTTTTTTCTTTTTTGACCAGGTTACCTTTTGAAGAAAAGTGCAAAAAATAATGAATGGAGCAAAAGGTGGTTTGTTCTAAACGAGAAGAGTGGGAAGGTTAATAAATCTACTTTATGATTTCCTGCAATTGTGATTATTCTTAATGTTAACTTTTGATAATTGTTCTTGACATTTTTGTTGCTGATCTTTAGTATCTTTTTTATTTGAGATGGCTTGCATGATTTACTATAATCCTTTTCCCCCGTCCAGCTTGGATACACTAAGAAGCAAGAGGAGAGACATTTTCGAGGCGTCATTGTCCTGGAGGTGTGCTTAGATGTCAATCTTACTTATATTCTGAATACTACAATCGCTGTTTGATAGATGCCCCTCTGGACATTAACATGTTCCCCAATTTAAACCTTTCACCATCATTTTGTACCAAATATATTTTCTGAAATAGTTTCATGACAAATAGGAAAATAGTTTCTACAACCAGTCTTAATATGTTGTCTATATTATCAGCAGAAGCTAAATGTTTATTGCAGTTACATAGAACTTTGAAAAGGAGGTAGTATACTTCCAGCCACATATTAAACAGTTTCTTTCATTGCGGAAAGTTGGAATTCATATCTGAACTCAGTGACAACATGTACACAGCTATGGGAAGCGTGATACGATCTGTTTCTAATGGAATTATCTGCTGCATTATTTAGGAGTGTAACCTGGAAGAGATAGAGGAGGAAGAGATCTCGAAGAGTTCTAAGGATTCGAAGAAGGCAAATGGACAAGAGAAAGGCCCAAGTCTTGTTTTTAAGATTACTAACAGGGTTGCCTACAAAAGTGTCTTAAAAGGTTTGTTCCCGTGTACATTACATTGTTTTTTTTTTGGGTGGTGGTGGGGGGGTTCCTTTTCAGTCTTTTTTGTTGCTATAAATGTTCTTGTTTCATATTTGCAGCTCACAGTGCCGTTATATTGAAGGCTGAGAGTATGGCTGACAAGAATGAATGGATCAAGAAGATAAGAGGTGTTATTCAAAGCAGAGGGGGCTCTGTTAAGGGTCCAACTGAGGATGGTTCTATGAGACAAAGCCGTTCAGATGGATCCCTTGTAAGCTCTGGCCATGACTTTTCACTTGTGTCTCAGTACATGTATTTTTTTTTTGTGTGAACCTTTTAGCCTTAGCAGAATTGTCATCTTGGCCAATGCAAAGGTCGTTCCTTTCATCTAGCCTGTGTGAACCGTTGCAAGTGCAGTTGAACCTGCCAGCTTATGACTTCCCAAAGCAAACATGTGAAGTTGGACTGACTAAAGTTGGGTGTCTAAAAAATGTGGACACGGGCACAAAGGGAAGGTGTGCTTAAGGGAGTCAAAGTCATTTTGCAGGCCACCTACCAACTGGACAATTCTCATTTCTTGCTATCTACTAAAGGATATCTATTGTTTTTTTTACCTTACCTAAAGGCTAAAGCTATGGCCTTATTATGTGTTTTCATTTACATGTATCCAACACAAGATCACTCATTTTACTGTTCATTCTACAACTCTTTTCTGTTCAAGGATACAATGGCCCGTAGGCCTGCTGATCCTGAAGAAGAACTTCGATGGATGTCTCAAGAAGTTCGTGGTTATGTTGAAGCTGTTTTGAACAGTTTGGCCGCAAACGTTCCAAAGGTTTATACTCATAGCTTCAGTTGATTCTCTGAACCTTGTGATTCGTGGAGTAATGTTCATTGTCTTTTGCATGACCAGGCTATTGTACTTTGCCAAGTGGAGAAATCAAAAGAAGATATGCTAAACCAACTGTACAGCTCAATAAGGTTGGTTGTTATTCTACGGAAATAAATTAGGGATAGTTATACTTCTTGAATGAGCTCCCACTCCTTTTTCCCTCGGTTCACTGAAAATTGTAATAAACTATGTAAAGTATAAGACACATTTGGGATGGGCACAGAGATTAATAAGGCCTTGGAACCAAGAGAAAGAAAAGAGTGACCACGCTACCCCAATTTAGCTTAGAAACATGAGAGGGAGCAGTTAGTGAGGTATTAAGCACGAATGCAGGTGAGGGAATATACTATGAAAAGGGCAAAGCCTGAAAAACATCAATAAATTTACATGAATGCCTCGACAAAACTATATGCCATATAAAAAGACAAGGAGGAGGTACCATCTAGATGGAACTGCAACTAAATATGCTTTTTGTTCCTGGCTATGTGAGGGTCTACTTACGATCCTTTTAGTTACTGTAGGTGCTTTGCATATTACACTCTAAGAAATGAGGAAACTGATAGAAGTAGTGCCTCTATCCATGCTCGAGTTCTGCAAACTGATTGTGCTTAATTGCTTCTCACACTTATGTCTTTGGTATTCTTGCACTTATAACTTGTATGCGCCACTCAGGTGCAGGCATAGTATATTACTAGTATTTCTCATCTTGCTTTATCATTTGTTTACCACATCTTTTTACTCGCAATGTGCCCTTGTTTGCTTAAGACTTGTGGTTATGCAAATTGAAATTCAACTTTTAACTCCTTAACTACATATCTTGAACCACATCTGCTAAGTTCAACGTCAATCTTGTTCCATAAACCCCTAATCCCTCTGGATCTGATTGTAGATGGGGTATTCGCTCTTTTGAATGTTTGCAAACTTTGTTCTGGCAGAAGTCTATTAAAATTGCAGTCTTCTTTTACTTATGCACTTCACCTTTTCTTTTTGTCGCACTTCGTGCTTCTGTATGGTGACTGTTGAAAGGTGTTACTAGTATTTTAAAGTACTTAGAAGAAAATGTTTTGTTCCACTGTCATTGCATTTTCTTTTAACAATTCATTGCTGAGTCAGTTACATTTCCTCACTTCTAGTGCACAAAGCAATGCAAAGATCGAAGAACTACTCCAAGAGGACCACAATGCTAAACGTAGGCGGGAAAAATACCAAAAACAATCATCCCTCTTGTCAAAGCTCACTCGCCAGCTCAGCATCCATGACAATAGAGCAGCTTCATATGCGAACGATAGTTCTGGAGCTGGTAAGTTCTATACTTCAAACAAGAACCTTTTTCATTGTAGTCCAGAAATGTATAGTATAATGAGCTAGTAACAATTTAGTATGATTCGCGTGCAATTTCATTACTTTTGTCTAGAAGCCCAGCTAACTCGTTAGATACCATACTCTCAAAAAAAAACTCGTTAGATACCTAGATCGATATTGCTTGGTGTAAATATGTGGACCAGTTTGTTGTACTTTCCATTTATTGTACAGTAGTTATTTTTTTTCTTTTGGGTACCAAATTGTGGAGCCTAACCTTGAGTGGACATAATTTACTTGCAGAGAGTAGCCCACGGTCCCCTGGCCACTCTGGTGAGGACTGGAAGTCTGCCTTTGACTCAGCAGCAAATGGCTCTGTTGACCGTTCACAGCATGAGACAAGGTCAAGAAGTGCTGACAGTCGAGGCCGACGCCACGAAAATGGGGATGCCAACTCTGGCAGCCGACGCACACCTAATCGGTTGCCACCAGCACCACCAAGTGGGGGGAGATACTAAGTACATTGATTGATCATTACATGTGACCAATCAGCATCATATGCCCTTGCCAGGCTCTCATCCGCTACTGATACTGGCGGAAGAACACATCTGGGACCAAAGAACAGAGAGCTTACTAGAAGATTTGGATGGACGGTGTGTATCAAGAGAACCAAAGTTGTTTATAGAAAATTAGAAATATATAGGTCATTGATGATTGTCATTCCCGATCGTTTTGGAGGTATTGATCTTTTGAATCCTCAGCCTGTGGGATTTTGTTGCCTCGGATCAGTTGATTTTGGTTTTGTACGATTCTGCTGCAAGTCTTCCCATCAAACTGGCAAATGTATTCTTTACACCCATTCATGTATCATTTTTCTTCCCATTCTTTTAGACTAAACCACATGTTCATTCGTGGTGCTATACTGCAGTATGATTATACTGTGCAATTCATTGTTGGGCTGGAATACACACATGCTTGTTGATACGGCCCTTGTGTTCTTATTGGGCTCTGATGTGGGTAATGAAGCATCTGAACTGTGGCATAATTTGTTCCATGTATATTTTATGTAGCACCGATTGTGATTCTTCAGGCGCAAGAGCAGGTGATCACGCTTCACTGACTCCTAGTTTATATGACTAAAGAAACTATATGATTAAGAAAGCTGCTCTAAAGAAAGGACAGCAACCATGTGAAAGCATCACTATTTCCATTCTTCTGAGGTCTGACCATGTGTTTGTGCCTTTGTTTCATGTTCTGCAGCTGATCTAGTGATCTTATGGTGCCAGATTGGCATTGAAAACTAGATAGCGCCAGGTTAGCGAAGATAACGTGCTCTTTGTTAAGCTGGACTGCACGAATGAAGAATCGCCGACGGAAAGGTACAGACAAGAATGACCAATAAGTTAAGAATGTCATTTTTTCCCTCATATGTACTGGTAATAAATTTATATTTGCACATGTCGATGCCTCCACCCTTTTCTTTTTCTTTTTCTTTCTTGTATACAATAACCTCGATCTGTGCAAAATGAAATTCAAACCCCCAAAAAAATGAACCAAAGAATGGGGAAAATTGTACAGCCCCCGCTCTACATCCTATATATTTACACCTCTGCCGCCGTGGACGTCACGGGCACCGGCGTCGTCGACCCGTGTTCCCTCTCCTGCCGCGCCATCCGGTGCAGCTTGGCGAACATGCCGACCATCGGGGCCGTGTTGTACGTGCAGGCCTCCGTCTGCATGTAGTTCTCCCGGTTGTCCCTGAACCTGTCTCGCCGGTCGGGCCCGCCGACGATGGCGCCGACGAGCACGTTTGGGTTGGAGCTCCGCCGGCCGAACCAGTGGTCAAACCCCTGCGTGCAGCCGATGAACTCCTTGCTGTGCTTGTACGGCACGATGGACGCGGCGCGGTGGTGCACCCGGTTGGGGTACTTGGAGCCGTAGCCGACGAGGTAGCTGACGCCCCTGGGGTTGGTGCCCAGCACGTAGTCCACCTGCGCCCTGGCGAGCGCGAACACCTCCTCGGCCGCCACGGTCTCGCCGCCCGCGCACGACACGGTCCGGGCGCCGGCCTCGGCCAGGTAGTCTGAGTAGACGGAGAGCAGGAACGCGGCGCTGGTCACGTACTGCATGTTGTTCCACTGCCGGATGTAGAGCATCCCTCCGGGGCTGCGCTCCACGTTGGCGTCCGCGCCGCCTTCCGTGTTCCGGCCCAGGCACGCGCACACGTAGCGCTCCGCCTTCGCCCTGTACCGCTCCAGCGTGCTCCGGTGGCGCGTCGCGTGCTCCCCTCTCAGCAGCAACTGAAACAAGTACGGGTGCATGCACGTGTCAGTCTCGCTTGTTACTCTTTGTCTGTCTCTTTGGGTTCTGGCATTATGGCGTACGTACACTGTCACTTACCCTTGCTGCTAGGATCTGGACGCCGGCGTACTTGACGTCCCAGCTGAACTCGTTGATGGGCCAGCCGGTGCCGCCGAAGCTGTCGGCGTTGTCGACGACGTAGTCGAGGTAGTCAGCTCTGCCGGTGGCGCGGTGGAGCCACAGGGCGGCCCACAGGAGCTCGTCCTTGTACCCGCTCACCGACGCGTAGTAGCTCTTCACCTCCGCGATGCTGCTGTCGTATTTCCCCCTGTACTTGTCGGCGAAGTCGAACAGCTGCAAAGATACCAAAGAAAAATGATTTAGGTAACGTGGCAGGTTATTCAATCAAAACTGGTCTCATAATTGGCATGGGAAAAGGCACGTATTGGTAGCAGGTGCTAACACGACTGGTTCCGTTGTTATAAAAATAAACAAACGAAAAGAAAAAACAAAAAGGATTGGTTGAATTAGCATGCACATGATGACGTTTACATTTCTTAGTTTCCAAGCAGTTTTATGCGATTGAACTGGCGACCTAATCATGGAGGAAACCGGGAGGCTTTGCACGTCCACCAGATGGTAGCTCCCTCCCTTTTTTTTCTCCGTTCTTTTTCGCGTTAGGTTGCGCGCCGGCTCCCCGGGCCCCACATGGCATCCCCTACGAACCGACAGAAACCTCTCATCTGAAAAACGTCGTGTTCACAACTTGGCATGTGCCTGCCGCGGAGGAGAAGACTGACACGTAGCCTGTTTACTGTTTGTTTTTAGGGTGATAAATCCAGTTGGTGCTGTTTGTTGGGAGAAAACAAACGATCAGGCCAACAATCACAACGGAACAGTCCTGCAGCAGCCTGCAGGTGCTCGCAACAGTCCAAAGTTCGGTACGCGTACTACCGCTAGTCCACCACATTTCCAGCCCATGTTTTTTTTCCCACGAATCATAGCCGGCAAAAATATTTTACCTGCTGGGCGTGGTGCAGGAGAAGGTGCGCGTAGTGCGGGTTGGAGTCGCGGAAGACGATGGACGCGGCCGCCATGGCCGCCGCGGTCTCGCCGGCGACGTCGGAGCCTGGGTGGTCCCGGTCCACCTTGTACGCCTGCCGCGACGTCGTCATGTCCTCCGGCCGCTGCCAGCAGTAGTGGTCCGTGTCGCCGTCGCCCACCTGCGCGCACGAAATTGTCAACACCTGCTGGTTTAGTTTGGGATGGATCGAGCAGCTAGCTAGCTTTGGATGGAACCCCATGCCATGCCATGTGGAACTGCATAACTTATTGCTACTGCCTCGTACGTTCAATGAGCGGGCCACCTAACCCGGTTGTTGTTATTCACCAGAAAGAGATATCTTTTTGTGTGCTATATATACTTAATTAATTATAATACAAATTGCGGTTTGGAATGTTTGTTAGGAAAAGGTAGCGAATGAAGAAAGCAGTCACTAAACTACAAGCGATAATTGAATTTGAATTGGTCTCTAGCTACCTAGCTTGGCTAGCTTCATCACGTTGGGTTTCATGTCGTGTGTAACAGCTAGCTTTCGCACGCGAGGCCAAGTCACAGCGAACTGGTCTCGCCGTCTCGGCACGGCATGGGCAGGCAGGTGAGACAGACGACTCGAGAGATCGACGCGGTTGGGTTGTGTAACTGTAGCCTAGCTAGTCGTCTTACCTCAGCCCACAGCTCATCGGGCCTGGTGTGCGCCTTGATGAAGTAGTCGGTGCCCCACTTGACGGCCTCGAGCGCGTGGCCGAGCTCGCCGGCGTCCGCGACGTCGCCGCCGTACTCGATCAGGCTCCACGACAGCATCGTGACGGTGAACGCCATGGGCAGGCCGAACTTGACATGGTCGCCGGCGTCGTAGTATCCCCCCACCAAGTCCACCTGTGCCGCGATCGTCACCATCACGGAGAAAAAGATAGCCATGTTAGTTGACGGATCAACACGGCGATCGTCCACCGAGACATCTAGAGTCTCGATTTCGTGCCGTTCTCGCCGTGCCGCCACGCCCGCTCGGTGACCACACCAAACGAAGACCGGTCGGCGTGAACACACGCTCGTCGGAAAACCGATCGGGTTCGCGCACGCACCAGCGCGCGGCGACCGTGGAATAATGGAGGCACCGGCGAGACGTGGGACGACAGCGGCGGACGGGACGGTGTCATTTACGTGACGCAACGTACCCCTTGCTCGAGGCCGTCGGTGAGGCCGGAGTGGTGGCGCCAGGCGACGCGCTGGCTGTGCGGGAGCCGGCCCGAGCGCTGCGCCTCGAAGTAGAGCAGGCTCTTCTGCAGCGCGTCCTCGTAGTTGTGCGCCTTCCCCTCGGCTTCGGCTCCACCGAGAACGGCGGCAACAAGCAGCAGCACCAGCAGCGCGACCCCGAGCCCGTGACACGACGTCGCGGTCGCGGCGGCGCTACTCATTGCACGAGGAGAGTCCCCGCGCGGCGGCTGCCTCCGCGCCGCTGCGCCCTCTCGCATGTGCGGTGGATGGCCGCTCCGTGACCTGCCGCCTGCTGCGTCGACCGCCTGCACGCCTCTTCCTCCCTGCCGCCTCCACCGCGCGTGTGTCTGTGTGTGCGTGGCTGCGGGCACGTGATCGGAGGACTGACTTGACTGGCCTCGCCCTCCCTCCCTCTGTTACGAGCGGCTTATATCCAGCGTCCTGCCTGCTGCGAGCCCGCCCGACACAAGCGCACGCACAGCGTGTTGAATTGGTTCAGCCCCCCCGGGAGGACGGAATAGAATACTACTCGGCAGCGGAGGGCTTGGGGGCCGGGGGAGGAGGAGACGTGGCGTCGGCGTGGGTTTGGAGGGGCGGACGTGGACTCGTTCGGGTTTGGTGAGGTAATGGTTGGGGCGGGGTGGATTTGGCCTCCCCTTGGCCTTGCCCTTGCCGACGCACGCAAGCAAGAACAAGGCGGGGCAGATTTTGACCGGGCGCCGGACGGCCGGAGCGAGGGGTCTGGTACTCTGGACGGAGGTTTCGGATTGTGCGGAGCTCGTGCATCGGTTGGGGCCGGACACGTACGTACTGCTCGACCGGCCACCTGCACAAACGCAAGGTGAGGCACGCGTACGACCGCGGCAAATCGAAGCCCTGTCATCGGCAGCTTGCATGCCTTCACGTGGCCCTCCAGGCTTACGTGACGCTGCTGCTGGTCTGGTCGGTGACCCGTCGCACTACTGCCCAGTAAGCGTGCCGGCCGGTGAGCTATTATCGGAGATGCATGCACTCCGATTTTACCGGGTCGTTGCATTGCGTCACCCGGTTCTTTACACACATGTTTTTCCCAGGTCTGATGATGGTTACTTCAAAAGCTGCGGCTTCGCTCTCCATGTGCAGCTTACGGAGGAGAGAATATACACTGCCACATGATAGTACGTCTAGTAGAGGATATTATTATACAGTAGCTGTAGCCGGTTGGGCGCTCCCGTTTAGCTACTCGCGACCTTTTGTTCTTTCTGAGATGATCCCGGCACATTTTGTCGGTAACCGCGAGCATGTCTCGCCAGGATGAGTTGGCTACACGCCCTGCCCTCTTGGTCAACCTATCCGCGAGGCGATGGCTGACTTTCTTTGGACAAAAATATGTACGCTTAATAATACATATACATACATGCATCTAGTAGTGCCAAGTTTTGGATTATACTTTATATTACTTAGCATGAGGCCCAGCCGGACAGTGACTCCCCGGCTGTAACCGATTTGGACGCCCTGATGATCCCTGTCCTGGCCTCCCCTTTCCTCCGTCACTTTCTTCCATCCGCTGCTCCATCCATCCATTGGACGAACAAGCGATTCCCACTGTAGAACACGTACATTATTCACCCTCCTCTGCCTGCTCGCACAATCGGTGGGCAGGGCAGGTTGGTAGGCCGGACCAGATGCTGATTTCTCTTTGCACCAAGCCGATTGATATGTCCCTTAATTGGAAGTTGGAATTTGGAAGCTTCTTGCTTGCATCTCCATCCTTTGGTATGGTATGATACGCTACGTCGTAGCTTAATCATTGTTCCCGTCCCGGGCCAATTAAGCCACATTTTGACCGTGCTTTGGTACCCATCTCGACATCTCGTGTACTATTAGCTAGCCTACTAGTCTCCGTCCCTCTTTATTCCTGTTATTAGGGCATCATCATGTGCTGTTAGCAGATGCTTTATGCTAGTTTAACGCTAACAACCAGACGTTTCATGGCTCGTTTTTTTTCCCCCTCTCTAGGTCGTCGTGCTGTTGGCACGTCCTCCTTTCTTCGCAGACTGTTTTGTGAAGCAAGGGAGAAATTAAATGGAAGAAGCACCACCTCACCTCGGCCATCTATCGTCGCCCTTTTAATTTGCGTACGTGATCGAAGCACTAGCTTGGCCACTTAATTGTTTCTCTTTTTCTTTTTGTGACGATCGACGTTGATGCATCGGTGGCACGGGTTTTCCACCGCGCGCGTGCCTGCTTAGCTTAGTTGGGGTTTTCTTTTTAGCGAGCTGGTAGCTACATACTACTCATGGAGATGTGTTTGAGGCTTTTTTTTCTGGCAAAAGACTTTTCTTTCTTCCTTTTTGTGGAGTCTCGAGAGGCTTGATGGAACAAATGAACTACCTCTCGTTGTTGAAGCAGCCATGATGACGACGAGTGCTGTTCTCTCCTTTTGTAACGCGAATATTTTATACTTTTATGGGGCAACCTTTTGGAGCCAAAATACCACACCTGAGTTTTTAGGGATGTCGACACACTCTATAAAATCAGGTATATCACGCATGAAATGTTTTAGCACACTAATTTATTGAATGGAGGATGGAGGAAGATGAGAAAGAGTGGAGGCTGTCACCCCCGTCGGATCTGTGCAGAGAAGAGTGGCGGGGGAGGCCGAAACAACGGGGTAGTGGAGTAGGGCCATGCAAGCAAGGAGGTTACATTGAATCGACGGGGGAGACAGGGAAGTGAAGCGAGGGAGAAAGGTGGTGGACGAGCTGGTAGGGGAATAGAGAAGGCAGCAAGATGGAGGCAGAAGATGGCAAGAGTATAAATGAGTGTGGGGAGTGGATTTTTCTCGCTCGCCTCTCGTAGTGAGGAGGGAGAGTGCCTCACGCGGAGAGCGAGCAGCAAGAGCAGTGGGTTTTTCTCGCTCGCCTCTTGTAGCTATCTTAGAGGTAGATATGGCTCAAAAACATCTCAAATCGCTAATTTGCATATGTATACTCATATTTTGGCTCAACAGATTGGTATAGCTCTATGTGATTCTGATTGTCCATGGAAATTGATTCTCTGAGAGAAGTGATTACGCTGCTAAAAGTGATTCTCTTTGATTGTTTAACACAAACTCTCTCAAAATCACGATGGAGAATCACTTTATAGAATCAGAGAAGCTACTTTTTCAGCTCCCAATTTCTTAGTTCATTTCAGATAATCACTCCATGGAATCAACAGAGAATTACTTTTCTCTAAAAAACATGTTTGACAAAGCTCCTACCGGATTCAGCAGAGAACTATTTCTCTCTAAAATATTGTTTGCAGAGCTCCTGTTGTGCCCAACGGGGTCATATACTGTTCCCTAGAAGCGCCCAATTTTCATATCGTACCAATTGTGCCACCATTTATGATTTATTGCTTCAATGATCTTGCTTTAGAACCACTATAATAAAATATTATAAGTGGCTAAGGTTAAGTATAGAGAGAGGAAAAGAGAAAAGAAAAATGGGCAACATGACGACCGTCTGAAAGGTCCTAATATGTCTAGAGGGAGGGGAGAATAACCTATTTAAAAATCTACAAACCAATTAGAGCAATTTGATTAGTATGACAAATAAGCGAAACGCAAAAACTTGCACTAGCTCTACAATAGTTGCAAGCCACCTATCCAACAATTCTAGTTATTATGATCAATAGACACACAATTTGCTAAGTCACTACTCACTAAGAGCTCTCACACTTGCTATACTAAAGAGCTCCACTAGATGAACTTAAGCTACAAAGCAAGCTCTCAATTCTAGCTACACTGAAGAGCTTGTTACAACTAGTTTGTGGGAATGTAAATGAGTAAGTAAGGTGATTATACCACCACGTAGAGGAGTAAACCAATCACAAGATGAATACTAATTCAATCATCTGGAGAATACCAAAGGGCAAGAGACAACCAATGTTTTTCTCCCGAGGTTCACGTGCTTGCCGGTACGCTAGTCCCCGTTGTGTTGACCAACACTTGGTGGTTCAACGGCTAAGAGGTGTTGCACGAACCTCGTACACACAATTGAACACCGCAAGAACATACCCACAAGTGAGGTAACTCAATGACATAAGCAATCCACTAGAGTTATCTTTCGGTGCTTCACCGAAAAAGGCACAAGACCCCTCATAATCACAGGGAGATGGCCACGAACAATCACCAACTCATGCCACTCCTCCTTCGTTGCTCCAAGCCATCTAGGTGGCGGCAACCATTAAGAGTAACAAGCGAATCCGACAGCGAAACATGAACACCAAGTGCCTCTAGATGCAATCACTCAAGCAATGCACTTGGATTCTCTCCCAATCTCAGAAAGATGTTGAATCAATGATGGAGATGAGTGGGAGGGCTTTGCCTAAGCTCACAAGGTTGCTATGTCAATGCAAATGGCCAAGAGTGTGAGCTTGAGCCGGCCATGGGGCTTAAATAGAGAGCCCCCACGAATAGAGCCGCTGGCTCCTCTGTCCCCTGAAAAATCGGGGCGACCGGACGCTGACGTGTCCCTGACTTCAAATGATGATCGCCCGATCTCAACGGTCATCAGTGCACTTAAGTTGTGACCGGACACGCTGCTCGAAGTGACCGGATGTTCCAACACTGGAGTCCGATTGATTCCAGTAAGGTTTCATTCACGACCGAACGCGCTGTTTAAGGTGACCGGACGCACCATCACTGGCATCCGGTCGCTTCCAATAAGGTTTCAGAGACGGTTTTTCACGACCGGACGCGTCCGGTGGCACATGATCGGACCCAGGCTAGCGTTCGATCAACACAGTCTCTCTCTGTTGCTTGCATCAGCGTACGTCACAAGGTGACCGGACGCACCCCCTGCGCGTCCGGTCCCTTTTTCACTTCAGCGTCCGGTCAAGGGACCGAGGGCGGCCTTCACTGCGCGCCACTGATCGGATGCAGGGTCAGAGTCCGGTCACTGCCAAGACAGAGTCTGGTCAATACGAAACTTCTCCTTTTGACCCCGAACTTCACCACCCTTAATCAAATATGCCAACCACCAAGTATATCACCTTGTGCACATGTGTTAGCATATTTTCACAAATATTTTCAAGGGTGTTAGCACTCCACTAGATTCTAAATGCATATGCAATAAGTTAGAGCATCTAGTGGCACTTTGATAACCGCATTTCGATACGAGTTTCACCCCTCTTAATAGTATGGCTATCGATCCTAAATGGGATCACACTCTCT